TCTGCTCATGGATTAGATCATTATGAAAACATGCCAACTTCCTCCTACTGATTCCTCATCCAAAACCCTTTTTTTTCTTCTTTTTTATTGGAGCATTTAAAAGGAGCAAGTTTATTTTTATAATTACAATTCGCACAATTGAGTGCTTAAATGGAGTTGTAGCTATAGTCAACATTTTGGACACGCTAGTTTTTTTCTAACAAAAACCTGAAATAGTTTTAAAAAGTTGCTGTAATTAGTCTTTGTTTAAATAAAAAACATCAATACTATTATGTTTCCACATATACGGTGCAATTGCAAAGTCACTGCTAGATGTTATCAGTAACAACATGATTGTGTTTGTTGGATGTAAAGATGTACTTATTCAAGACATGAGGATCCAATTGTTTTAGGTTTGATTGTGCAAAGCAGTCCGTTATTTGTTGAAGTTTATCAACTACTGTAAGTGATGTTGGTAAATAACTACTGTGTTGGTTGCCCTGCCTGCAGCAAATGTGATGTAGAAATGCAAATGACCTTTTTCACAAAGATGAAATGGGGTTAATTGCACTGTGTTGAAAGTTTGGATTAGCTCACGGCAGGCTCCATTTGGACTAGCAGCCCTTTGGAAATGCCCCCCCCCCCTCAATTAAAAAAGCATAGTATGAGTAAAGATACATTTTTTATGGTTTTCATTAATTGTAAGTTGCTCGCTATTTTCCTTAGCTTATTGCGTTTGACCTCCGCCGCAGTGCTTGGCTGCTCATGTGGAAACTGCAGCAGCTGATGGTGAGAATGATGAGTCTGGAAAAAAAAAAAAGATCTGATTGAGACACTGATTCCAGGGAGAGCTGTTTGTTGGAGACCTGGCATGTAAGGAACTGTCAGGATTAACCGCAAACTGCAATGCTTGAGCAGAATCTAAAGGTAAACCAGGAGCCTCACTTGGAAACATACTCTGCTGTTTTTCCTCGCCTCTGTTTAGGATATTTGTTGAGAAGAACTCCCACAGGATGCAGTAGCAGTGGTTGTATGCTCTTAAACTCAAACACATGCCTTCACCACAGTTAAATTAGTTGTAGGCCAAGCTCGTGTCCTCAGAGACGAGGCGGTGCACGCACTTGTGAAGCGTGTCCACCACCTCTCTTCCATTGCCTGGTTATAAAGACACAAGAGGGAGAAATAACTAGGTGACTCATAGCAACTCACAGCTGACTTATGTAACAAATTTTATTTTGATTTTTGCATAAACCACCCAGAGCTTTTGTACACAGAGCATGTAGATGATGCAGTTTTACTCAAAGCTGTTGATCTTTTATCATCTCCTTGTTAGTGATCTTACCGTGTGCTTAATTTAAGGCTCAGCCTTGGATTTATGTTGTGTACATATGTATGTATGTATATAGATACAGATATATGTATGTATATATGTATGTATATAGATATATAGATAGATAGATATAGATAGATATAACATACTGTTGAACTATAGAGTGTATTTTTTGCTGTTTGTCAAACAACTTTAATTATGTCCAGAACTTGCAGATTGTTTGGGATGCCCAGCATGGTGAGGAGGAAGTAGTGTTAAAAGAAGGGCGAATGATTCATCCCGGTTAAAAGAAACTAAAATGAAAATTACTTTCTGGTGTTTATGTACAAGCCAAGCCTTGGTAAAGCTAATAAGCAGATATGAAACTGATTTCAAGGATAGATATTAAATAAGCCCTTGCTTGCCGTAGACTGCCCCTATATGACCCATTTGTCAGATATTTCACCACTCAGTTCCTCAGTGCTACGAAATCAGAACCCTCTCTGTCTAATGCATATTAAGAGCAGGGGTGCTGCTTTTATTTTTGCATTCATTTTGTGTGGAGTTCTTTATTGGATTCTCTGTCTTTGCACTTTTCTAAATAACTCTTTTAACTGCGTGAACCTGCAAGTGATGCTTTTACTTTGATAGTCTGGCATGAATACAATAGCATTCAAATTCCTTCTCCCTATGTATGTAAGATGCATAACAATGAAACTGTTATACAGAGAACTATTAATTAAGGTTCTTAGGAGTTTATTTATTGTTTTTCTTTCTTTTTAACCTCATACATGGAAACACTGAGTTGTATTTGACTTTAGGTCGTTTTAAAGGGCTAGATGTGTTAACAACAAAGCAGGATTGGTTATTTAGCAAATGCAATCTGCAAAGAAAGTTGTGACTTTGCTTTGAAACATTCAATGAAATGTTGCTCTACTGCAAAAAGTCCTCTTGGCAGCTCAGAGCCATGTAAAGCACCTTAGTGGATGTTTAGAATACAAATGAAGTGCATACATGTCTAAGATATTGAAGGAGTGAGTTTTTTTTCTTCTCCTTCCCACCAAGTTGCCCATCTGTCTATGGAGATACCATATGTCCTAAGCCTGCAAGGCATTTTATAATGGACACTTTATCTCTGCTGGTTTAAGAGTTGTTTTTCTGAAGTTTTGAACATTTTACATTATCCCCCTCGTTCCCAGCCTTAAAATACTGTTGTGTTACCTCTCTTTCATGATATTCAACAAACAGCAGCAGGATTTAAACCACACAGCCCAAATTGTATATATATTTCTGTCATAACAACTCTAAACCACCATAGCATGCTATGTCCTGTGGTTTCTGCAGACGGCTTGTTGGCAGCGAGTCCTGGGGGCCACGAGGGTTTTGGGATAGGACTTCTGAGGTTTTATCTCGGATGTGCAGAGTGCCATAAATGCCTGATCGGATTGATATCTGGAAAGCTTTTCAGTGTCTGGATTTTTGCCACGTTTCTTGAGTTGAACATGTCGGTCTAGTTTCCCAGTCATTCGGTTCATGGAAACCCTAAATCTTTGAATAGATGCAGCAGATTAAGAAGGTAAGTTAGGTTGCTTTTTGTTCTAACAGGATGTTCACTGAACTTGATGTTGGTGATGGAGGAAGCAGGCGGGTGTTTTAGTTTCTCATCATTGTTCAAATGAATGTTAGATGAACCATATCACTAGCTACCATATATTTACAGTTGGCTTTTAGGATTGATGTCCATGGGTACATACAGACCTAATTAGAATGTGATTTAGGTTGATGATGCCAAAGCCTATTAATTGCTGTTTTGGTATAATGATTTACACTGGATTTGTTTTTTTCCTCTTTCTTTGGTCCTGGTCAGTGATTGGACAGCTAAAAACTTTTTTTTTTTTTTTTTTTATCAGTAAACACACCATGGATATAAGCACATTTCAAGATGTCTTAGTTCTAGGGGAGTCCCAATATAACTTTTTAATTTACGATGTGATACCGATATTACGCCTCTGAGTATTGGCTCATACCGATATTGATCCTTTACGATAATGGCATTAATCATGCATACTTTTATTACTTATATTCAAGTGTGGGATAATAGAAAACAGTTGATCAGGTGATATTTCTCCAACAGATAACAATATTTAACAACATCAGGTATAAGATCAACTGACCCCTTTCTTATTCCCCAAAGAGGGACATGTTCTATGTGTTCTTAAATATCTAAGATTTCAGAGGCAGGCCAATGTAATCCGATATAAATATCGTAAGTGAGTATTCTAATACTAATTATATTACAACTATTAAAAACATTTACTGTATGTAATTCATTCCCATCTGTGTTTTTGTATTTATTTTATGTGAAGCACTTTGTGATTTTAATCTATAAAAGTGGCTTCCTCAGGATTAGCTGCTGTAATTTGGTTTACAGCTGTTAGAAGCTTCTTCAATGGGCTCATCCGCCATTGTCTATGTTTATCCTTTTGATGGGATCGGTGAAGTCACGTAATTCCATACATGCTGCAGTGTCTTAAAGGGGAAGGAAATACAGCCACCAGGCAAAACAGCACAATTATTTACAGAACTTACCAACATGGGAACATTTTTGCCAGTTATCGTATTAAATCACTATAACTGTAAAAATCTGGTTTATCAACCAGCCCTATTTTGCACTGTACTGACTTTCTCACAACATTTAACAACATCAAGCTAAATGTAAAGTATTGTGGTGCTGAAGAAAATCAGCTGACCTATTATTCCTGGCTACCTTTAGCATTTTGTAAGGTGCCTTTTTTCACATTTTTATCATCACTTCCAAACACAGCAGCCCCACCATGCAGCACAGCTGTCTATGAAAAGCAAAAAGACATAAATTGCATTCTTCATCTTTGTCACCATTAATCAGTGTATATTCCCACACTGGACACTCAGTCTATAAGTAAGGTACTTCTAGTGGACAGCGCTGCAACACTGAAAGAAATTCCTTTTAAGCAGACGTCACTGATTAACCGGATGGAATAGATTTTAATTGGATAAACCATTAATTGACTGTTAAGCGTAATTCGATATCCACAATTATATCCACCGTACCCCAGTTGACATTATCTACCCATAGAAGAAAGCTTATGATTTTATTTGTTGGCCAGACCTCAGTGGTCTGCTCTTTTCACCGTTGGTCACTGCAGGACAGGTTATGTTGGCTGAAAGACCGCCCTTTTGATGTTGATTTGTTTAGAAACCTGTCACTCATTGCAGACCTTTCTAAACCTTGCGCGTGTCACCTCCCCATCTTTGTTGCCAAGATGCTTCTGTGTTGCCTTATCCGTGACAATGGAGTCACATTACTGATGTGAGCGGACAATAGGGCAGCATCTGCTTCTCTTTCCCACACCCCTCAGATATCTTGGCTTCCTGCTGTCACTCTCTCTCAGCGCCGCGGCATTGTGATGTTGCTGGCGGTCACGTCACGTTGCTCGCGGCACGGTCAGCAGGGTTCCTTCGCACAACGCTGTGGTGATCTGTGGCGTCTTACTTGCTGCCTGTAGAGGATCAGGGTTCTGATTTGTTCTGTTTCAGGTCATCGTTTGTTTGTTCTTTGATTTTTGTTTTTGTACCAAGCATTTTTGATGTAATGCTTTAGTGAAAATGTTTTTTTTTAATGCTTTGTTCATTGTTTTTTACTAAAACATAATGTTCTCTGCCTTTTCTGTAGGTGCAGTGTGTGGTGTAAATAGAACAGGATTCAGAAGATAAACTTGCTGGTTTCACTGCTGAGGACTCACTAGAACGGTGAGTCCCAAACTGACACATGTCAGACATTTACTCCAAGACATTTTGATGTGATTTATATAGATGGGTATATTTCTGGCTGGATGGACAAACCACAAAGCTGAACTTAGTCCACTTCATGTGAACAGACTAATTTTTATTGCTCATGGACGACCAATTTGCCCTTCTAAGCATTTATCTCTTTTATTTTTTTTTTTATGCCTCTGTTTTGTGAAGGGCTATATTTGCAGTGTGGCGGGGGGTGCTGTAACTCAGATGCATTGCCCAAAAAATTACTGATATCCCCTGAACACTTGCATGTTATAGATCTGCTACATATATTAGAAATAATCTGATACATCAGCCGATATTTGCATTGTTTTATCTTCTATCGTATCGCCGAATAAATACATGCTTTTCCCAATTAAGCTCATTCAGAAGCATTGCGGCTTCCTCATGTCTTGTTCATTGTTTTGCTTGATTATTAGCAAATGTTTCTTTTCTAAAAATTGACAGTTGCTTAACATTTGTTATTATTGTCATTTTCTCTGGTAAACGGAGGAGAAGGCAATATCAGCCGAAAAAATCTGCCTAATCTGTGTCGTTATAGGCGTAACAAAAACGCGTGTTCTCTCCGGGTTGCAGGTTTAGTGCTACCTTTTTGCTTCCAGTGCAGCTGCAGGTCTTTTGTGGTAATTATCTATCAGCTTTTTACGACAACGTGGTGACATTTCTATCCAGGTTTACTGAGGCTCCACTGAAAGCGTCTGTGGAGCCTTTGGAGCCTTGTGGAGAGTTTTTAAGCCTTTTTAAATCTCTTCAGTTAAACTTATGTCTGTTTTGAGGAAATGTATTTTATTAATGTATCCCCCACATCATGATGCTGCAAGTTTTTAAGGGGCGGACCCATTCTTCTGGTTTAATTTTGCATTTTTTCTAAGCCTACTCTATAAAGCTTCAAACTCAACGCTAATTTTGACATTTGGAATCGGAAAAAGCTTAATGGATGGGAAATTAAATGTCTTCAAACTTGGAAACAAGTCCAGTGGATTGTTTTTTTTTTTATTTCTTTAAATTTCATTTTTTTAAATGTCTTTAATTCCGGTCTCATCTATCCAGAACAATCAGATATCAGGAGGGACTTCTAATGACTCTCTTTCATCTGTGGATTTCTTCTTGCCACTTTTTCTTAGACTTTTTATAGATGATAACTGCCAGTTGACTTTTTAGTAGAAACTCCGTTCAAAGCTGTAGATCTCTGCAGTTAATGACAGGCTCTTCCTTTAATGCCAGTCTGCTCAGGTGGGAGAAACACTAGACATGCCAAACGTGGAAGTTTTTGTCCAGGTGTGCTCTTCTCTTTTTGTTTTCCGAAGACAGATGGATGAAGGCTCTGTGAGATGCTCAGAGCTTGGAATATGATATTCTTTATAAAGTGTTTTCCTTCTCTATAAAGTCAAATATGAATAAATCACATTTATTTTGTTATAGGTTCTATTGTGAAAAATTGTGAAAAAGTTCAAGTGGAATGGATTCCTTTGTGAGGCACTAAGGCACCAGATGCCAACACTCATCTCCTCTCCGTGTTCAGTCTTGCAGTGCACTGAATGGATGCAGTTTACTCTCCTCTTTTTCATGCATCATATTTCTGAGTGGAACAACTCCTATCACAGTGTGTCTCCCCACCGGTGTTGCTATTTTTAGCGGCGGCTTAACTATCAAGGGATGCTGCAGCCGTCCTCCATCCCTGTTTGTCTGTTTTTTTCCAGTTCTCCTCCATCAGCCGATGTGTCAAAACGTTTCCCCCTTTTTCTCTGAATGTTTGAAGTAGAGAAGAAGTGGAAATAAATGTGTGTGTGTGCTGGATAAAAAAACAACAAAGAAACATAAACTGACCACATGCAAATGGTGGAGTGTTTGTTCAAGTGAAGCTCAAACTGCTTGAGTCATGAAAAAGAAGCCAAATAAAAAAGGCTTTTGTGTCCGAGATGTTTTAATGGTCAGCAGGAGCTGAGGATGCCGTTAGTTTTCAACACTTCAAAAGAATAAAAATAATTGGCAGGGTCTGATTGATGGATTGATCTTTATTTTCTGTGTTTTTAATCATTTAATTGATCTCTTTCTCCTCTTGCTTATTGAGATTTGATCACAGGTTCTCATTGGGGTGAAAATGTTATCCTAAGTCTATTTGAAGTGATCTTTGATTGCCGTTACAGCTTCATGTTTTGACGTTGTTGCTCCATCTTGCTAGACGATAAACAGATAATTACCAAGCTGTTTGAAGAAATCTGCTCTTTGACAAGTTTTTGATCCCGTTGCCGTGTTGTTTGGCAGAACTGTGACTAAGCCAACTCTCTCTCTCGCAGAAGAGAAGCAATCCCACACATGGATTTTATCAGGATGCCTCACTGTTAACACAACAGGACCCACGGTAGCTTTTCTTTTTCGGACAAATGATTCTCCAGATGTCCCAAACAATCAGTAGGAGGATTCATCACAGAAAATAACTTTTGAACTATTGCACAAGCTGTCCAGCCTTGTTCTTTCTGCAGGATTTCAATCTCCTTAATGTTTTTCCTTTTTGGAGAACTGTGGCTTTGTTCTTGTTCTTATTTTCCTAAGGCTGTTGTTGGAAAGTCTTTTTCTCATTAGGTAGAAAGATAACATGTGCTCATTAACAATTTACATTATGTAGAAGTTTCTGTTATATTGCATTTTTTTTGTTGTTGCTGCATATATTAACATAATTAAATCTTATTGAAAACTGGATAAATAAAAATGGATCTCTTCTGCTGCACCAAGTCTGCATATTAGCACACAACCGTCTGTGTTCATCAAACATGCATCTAGATGTTTCTCTGAGCGCCTTTTTAGAGTGAAACTAAGCAAACATGCAAATTGTCTAAGTTTAGATTGAATTCAAGAGATTTACAAAAAATTATAGCGGCTTTATCTTTGGTGTCGGCACAACTGCGCTCATCATGCATGACGCTTGTGTTTCTGCTGCCAGTAAAAAAAACATTTCCAAATCATCCAAACCACTGTTTTCCTATATAAAGTACCATATTTTAAAAACAGGAGAACTTTGTAAAATCACATCTGTGCTGCTATATTGTTAACTAGAGCTTCTTTCCTACACAGTAATTTGACAAGGCGAATGATTTGACAAGTTGGTCATTGACCTGAGAAAGAGAAATCAGTGGACTAGCTCTGCACTGGTGGCAACAGGAATCTATAGCCTCAGCTCATGATGATCCTGGAACTTGCTCAGTCTACCTCTATGGTGTCACATTTATTTCAAAATGCCCGCGAGCAAAATAAACATACTTGCATTTATGTTAAACTACTTCTGCACATGGTTTATCTAACGCTGCACAACAAAAACACAACACAACAAACTGCTGCTCCGAGAGGCAAAAATCGCTCTCTGCGTGCGCCTGAGCTCCTCCCAGGGGCGCTAGGGATCATGCTGGGGATCTCACAGCTCTCACAATTTTATATCCAGCGACAAATTTCGAGGATGGCTACGCTCTTGAAAGTGTCTCCGGCCTTGGACAGATTTTTCTCCTCGCGCGAAGGAAAATGTGTTTTGACTGGTTGGGTGGAGACAAAGGTCTTCTGTAAGCCTCCTCTTGATTACACATAAAGTAGTGTCATTAGGCCTTTGACTGACAGCTCGTCATTCATAACTGACAATGACGGCTGGAGCCGGGACAGTGGCGGAGGCTTCTCCAACATTTGCGGTGCGTGGGGTAAGTGGTATGCGTCAGTCAAAGGCTTCCTGACGCTACTTCCCATGTGATTATGTCTGCAAGGCCCAGTCAGGAGGAGGCTTTCAGATGAGGTTGGTCTCCGCCCAACCTGTCAAAACACATTTTCCTTTGCGTGACAAGAAAATCAATCCGAGGGCAGAGACTCTTTCGAAGGTGCAGCCATCCTTTAGCGTGGCCTCTGCATAAAAAATCGGGCGCTCGGTGAGATCCCTAGCATGATCCCGAGGGAGGAGAGCAATTTTCTCCCCTTGAAGCGTCAGTTTCTCGTTCATGCGTGATTTTGTTGTGCGGTGGTAGATAAACCATGTGCAGAAGTAGTTTAACATACATGCGGCTATGTTTAGTTTGCTCGTGGGCGTTTTGAAATAAATGTGACGCAATATCCCTCTCTCCAACTTCCTCTCTTCGAAGTTGTTAGATATAAAAAATATAAAAATTATGATAAAATTATTAATAAATTTTTATTTTCACAAATTTCCTTGCATGCAAGAACAATTTAAAGCACACCTGGCCCTTTTTAAAAGCAGTGTGCAACATGCAAACCTTTCAAATTCTAGCTCCCTAAAAATCTTTACACAAACATATGTATAAAAACCCTCTCCACACAAAACAATGCATTCTCTTCACATATATAAAATATAGCTAAAGCCACCTAAAACCATGCCTGCACAAAGCTGCCAGATAAAGAGGGGTTTCTATCATAGAAGTTGCAGTAAAGTGGAATTTTATTTGTGGCATCTTGTTTGGGTCTTGATTCATGCTAGAGACTAAACAGCATGACGGCACTAGAGGATAATAAAGCTGCATTTCCATTGGTTTAATAAAGTAGTCCCTGTTTGTGTTGAGCTGCAACTCACATCCAGCTGCTGTTATTGACACAAGGAGACAGTTATTGTCGTCCCTCTGCGCCTCTTAAACAGTCCTATTGCTCCTTCTGGACGGTGTGGGCAGTGAGCTGACAGGTAGAGGAGGGCCACCGCCTTGTGGAGATCCTGATGAGTGCGGCTCGCATCCGGGGGCATTCCAGTGATCGCCCACCCCTCCCTGCCCTCTTTTATATATCCCAGTGGAAAAGCAGGGAAAAAAGTTAAAGGTCATCAATGATTGTCGTCAGTTTTGTCTGTTTTCCTACAAGCGCTTTTTGCATTTGTAGAGGTCTAACCAAATTGTTATCCTGCATACATATTTGCTTGCTTTTCGTTCCTAATTAAGAAAAGAAAAACACATTTGCGTGCATGCAGACACTCG